CAGTGTCTCCTTTCTCCAAATTATATCTCCTTTTAACATTGTAAAGAAAACATTAACACCCAGTAGAATGTCAACTGGTCTTGTTTCAAAAAAGAATGAGTCAGCCAGAACTAGATCATTAAAATTGTTCAGAAAATGTGGAGGGAGAGGAACATTAGAAACATCTGACATTATTTTTTTTAATCATGAATGCCTTTATACTAAATTTCAAGTCAGAACTAAAATGGGGGTAAAGTTCAACTCTACTTCACCAGTAGTCACAGCATTGTAAGATATCAAGCAAGAAATCTGAACATTAGCATTGTTTTTCGTCATAGTTTCTTGACAGAGTCTTCTGTTATAAAGGACACCTCAGAATTGCTATCCAGCAAAGCTCAACAAGTTACAAAATTTTCAGTAGAGTCACTTATCTTGACTATAGCAGTACAAAGTAAAACCTGTTTGTTTAGTTCCTTTATGACCTACTCCGATTACACTTGAAGAATCAAAAAAAATGCAGCACAAGTAGTGGTAGTTAGATTCGATAAATCATATGGCATTGATTGGAAGGTAGGAGCATCAGTCAAGGGTGGACTAAATACCTTCCCAGGTTTCAGAGGTGAAGACATTTCAGAATCCCTATCAATATGTAAAATAGTATGATGTAATTTACCACATATTCTGCATCTACTTAAACTCATGCAGGTTTTAGCTTGGTGTCAAGAAGTAAGGCAATTAAAGCATAGTCTGTTCTTTCTTACCATATCTATCCTTTTCTGAGTGCTCATTCTTACAAAGAATGTTCTTTGTAAGAAAGGAACAGAGAAGTGTTTCCTTTGGATATGAAACACTTCTCTGTTCCTTAGGTGGCAACTTCATGGCTTGAAGGGTTCTTGCATGACCCTTCAAGAAGGTAAGCAAAGCCTCCAGTATGCCTAGCTCATCTTGCTTTAAGGTACGTTCCCACCAACTCCTAGTATTTTTATCAAATTTTTCCATAATTAAGCAAACTATTAACACTTCAAAAAACCTTGTAATATCCTGATCAAGTACACTCAACAATTGGATGCATTCAATTGTAATATAGACTGAGATGAATCAGTAATACTCGGGATGTTTATTAATTTCTTGATCAAAGCATTTACCAGTTCACATTTATTAGAAAATTGCTCCTGTAAGAGTTTCATAGTTAGAATCCAATATCAGAAGTGACTGGATAATTTTCTAAGCATAACCTCTACAGGATGATTTTAAATATTGCAATTTCTGACAACTCAACAGATTAGAATTATTGTCCATGCTAGCCTTAAACAGATCCTGGAATGATAACCAGTCCTCAACATTTCCACTAAAAGTCAGAAGAGAGAATTTCAGAAGTCTTACATCCGGTACTTGTGATTTTAAACTATCGGAATCACTTGTGGCATTCATTCTCTGTTCCGAGTTCTTCCGTTTGACCGTCAACCAAAGTTAGTCAATAATCTCCTCAATAGATTGCTGTTCCTCTACATACATTTCAATTTCCTTATCACTACATTGTGAAAAGATCTCATGAAATATATCATGTAATTCAACTCCAAGTTTCTTAATTTTGGTCTGGAACAGTTCTATTTGAGTATCATCTGTGACCTCAATACCAGCACCTATCCTTTCCTTAAGTTTGGTAGTGTTGGATTTAAGGACTTTCTTTTTTGTTAAAACACACTTAAGACCCTCCATGATAATGAGTAATAATAAAAGGCTAACTCATTTGCTCGAGCATATTGAATCCTGTTTCCATGGAGTTAATCCAAAAAGTGCAAACACCAATGCACATAGTAGAAAGTTTCAAAGTTTTCAATCCAGCAGAAATTCACTATACATCTACACATCCGGCTCGACGAACCAAATGTTGATGCTATGAATGGACTGTATACGAACTCACAATAATTGTACAATAAACTGATCTTTATTGATTTAAACTCTCTTCAATCATTCAGGCAATATAGTTTGGATTCCTCTTGAATCTGGTACACAAACAAGATGGCGATAATAGTCAAGAACGAAAAAACACCCTCTCACAATAAAAATAAAAAATTTTCCAAATAATAATAATAAATAATAGTTTACACAAGAACTTTACAGTTATTTGCTGGAAATTGCATATAGGTATTACTTTCATTTCAGTAAACTATTCTTGGAAATCAGAAATTTTGAGAGAAAATCTAGACTGGAAGCCTATATCTCACTATTTTAATATGAAAATTTATAACACATTACCATATCAAACAGATAACACAGCAATAGAAATTTGTTTAAAAAATGTACAAACATTTCACAAGAAAAACAAAGTGATTTCTCATAATGAACATTTAACTTGCCAAATGAAATTAAGTTTAAAGAAAGTTGTGTTCGTACACTTTTTAAATCTATACATGATTCTGACATCCTATCTTTTGGGGTATAATGTTTTTCTATATAAACATTGGCTGAAAAATGTTTTTATGAAGAGATTTATACATTTGTAATGGATTGCCTTTGTTCTTGTTGTAATTGTTATGAATAAGAATAAAACTGCTGTATAATAAAATACCTGCACAGTTGACCCCCCTATAACACTGCTGATTTTTCCGTTTTATATGAATTCCATGTTGTATGAGTCACTTAGATTTTACAAATACGTGAGCCGTTCAACAGCCTGGCACACGTATTGTAAAATCTAACTGACTTGTACAACATGGAATTCATATAAAACGGAAAAATCAACATTGTTATGGGGGGCCAACTGTATTTTATTATACATTATAATCCAGTTGTCACAATTATTCATAACAAACATGTAATTTCTATAATCAAGAATGCTGAAAAATGTAAAAGTATCAATGAGGAACATGTTGTCTTAAATGCATATCCTCAGAAATCAATAAAAGCCTGCGTTTCCATCTTAGTTGTGTTCTTGTTTGATTTGTTCTCTCAAACAATTTTATGCTAACTCATAACAAGACTTATACATTATATGAAGTTTGAGTATTACAGCACTGTTAGCATAAAAATTAAATTTTTATATTTTTTCACGACTAAAAATGTTTTTCACATTATTATTAATGACTTTTATTCAATTTTTTTTGCCAGAATCATTTTTAATTTTACACAGTACAATTTATTTTATCAGTTAGTTTTCTCTCTACAAGGCTCTGAACAAGGCTTCTTTGTCCTCTTCATTTTCTTGCTTTCTTTCATTTGGTAATTTTTTCCTTATATTGTGTGCATGACTTCTTGGCTGACAGTAATCAAAACAAAACAAGAGATGAAAGACAGTTTAACAAAATTGACAATATATATATATATATACACTATAAGAATTTAATTCTCAGTAAAACAATTGTTCTGAAATATAATTACCCTATAGACCAGGGGAGGCCAACAAGTCGATCGTAAAGCCAATTTTGGTTGATCGCTTGCGATGTCTTGACTTAATGTGTTACACTTGTAACCGAATGCAACTGTAGTGATATTGGACCTCTGCATTCTCCCTCAGATGCGGTTTTGTCAGTCCATGTGCAATCCATTTGCGTACAGTTGTAAAAGGGGAATAAGAAATGCAGACAAAGGGTCGTAAAACCAAAAAACAGGAAAGCGGGAAGAGGGACAGAGAGAATAGGTTGGGACACGGTAGAGATAGGAAGGGTGAAGTGGTGGTCCCTGAAAACATTGAGTTTCAATTTTTCTTCTCTTTAAAATGTAAGTACCTTTTCTTCATGTTTTAAATTAAATTGTGGCTTTTTTTACCTATCTAAGCATAGTATGTATTTCACATCTTGCCACTTAGACTACGGCTACGACAAGTCAATCACAAAACATTTTAAAGATAAAAAGTAGATCTTATGTACACAAAAGTTGGCCACCCCTGCTCTAGACCACTAAAATATCACCGTGAACCCCAATTCGGTATTTTTTTTCTGTGGACCCCCAGTAATGTTACATGGACCCTGGTTGAGAACCACTGATATAGACAAATTAACAGATTATAATTATAGTAAACTAATAATAATAAATACTGAATATTTATTTTGTTACACAAAATTCTAACAACAAAAAAAACACCAGGAGGTATTACAAAAATTGTACTCCTAGAACCTATTTCCAGTGTGAAGAACTCGCAGAAGTTCAAAAACATTTGTAGTGAATTGTTTCTTTTGTTTTTTTTTTGTCGCACCAGAAATAGGTTCTAGGAGTACGATTTTTGTAAAATTCTTCTTATTATTATTATTATAGTAACTTTATTCTATATAATCATTATTTTTTTATATAAGAATGTTTGGTACTTTTCCATTAACTGGGCGCCAGTCATTTTTACTACTATATTTAGCGAAATCAATATTTTCTTTCATAATTCACATGTTTAATATTACAATGAATATGTTTAATATACATTCATAAAATTTATCGGTAAAAGTCTATCGGTTTATCTGTAATATATGTGAAATTAAACGTCATTTTTTCTAAAACTGAATTGAAAATTGAATGGTGCCCAATTAATGGAAAAGTACCGAATGTTTCATTATTGAAAATTATATTTAGTATGTAATTTTCAAAAATCTCATAGTTTTTAATATTTGAAAACTACTCAATATATAATTTTGGTTATTTTATGTCAATAATTTAATATTGATGTTTTTGTTTTTTAATTTATTCAAGAAACATTTTTTAAAAATATATAATGTTGGGAGAAAGAAAAAATAAATGGGAAATTTAATGCAAAAATCTATTTGATAAACAGGGAATATCTTATGATTTTCAATTAATACTCGTAAGATTTCAAAATTCATGCATAAATTACAGTATTATCAGACTGTATAACAATTCTGATATTATATATTATTATACCTTACAACAACTAACCGGTTCCAATTTCAATCCAATTAATAGTAAAATTGTGTTTTAAGCAGGAAATTAAAATCTCCATGGTGTAAACTAAAGATTTATAAAGTACGATATACAAAATATTAAAATAAAAACTTTATATCTTCTCAGCAACTTACATTTTGTTTTAAGTAGGGAAAGGAACCGAAAGCTGTTCTATTCTCGCTGCAAGGTTCATTAATGTCGAAGGAACTGCACAAAGACGACGATTTTCTTCTTTCGTTCGACGTCGAAGTTCCAGCTTTGATAAATGTAATTTTGGAATCTTGTCTTTGGTTTTCGGAAGAGAAATTCCTACGTTCGACATCGCATTCGTTACGAGAGAAATGACGACCGATATCTTCGTCTTCGCAAATTCGAAAAGAATTATCGCTACTTCGTGAATTTCTTTCGCAAAAGTGAGGCGGTTCGTTACAGGAACCGTAGCTACTTATTAGATTATCGGCATTCTCTTCTAAATTTCTAACCGGACTAAAACAGTATTTCGATTGAATACGTTTCAAAGCTACATTTCCCGCCCAATTACTGTTACGATTGAAAATGTCCTTTCCTAAACAATATTCGTATTCGTCATTTTGTCTGAGATTCGGTGGGAGAGAAACGAGAAAAAAGTCATTGTCTTCGTAGTATTTTTTTGGTCTCCTGAAAGGTTTCAAATATCCCTCGGCTCGTGCTTTCTTCATATTATCGAGGAAGAGTTAAACAACCACGTTGCCTCTTACAAAGATTTCGGTAATGCCGTGTTATTATTTACTACTGTCGATGTTTATAGCCCAAAAACCTAGTTTTTTGAAGGAAAGTTAACAACCACGGAAGAGGAAGAGTTAACAACCACGTTGCCTTTTACAAAGATTTCGGTAATGCCGTGTTATTATTTACTACTGTCGATGTTTATAGCCTAGAAGTTTATGAACAACTAACTGATACGATACGATAGGAACGACGGCGAACGAAAGAAAGATGGCGGCGCCAGTACTACAATAGTATCGTGATGGAGTGGTCTATGATTTTAAAATATGCGTTTTTAGAAACAAAAGAAAAGTTCTAATTGTAAAATATAACCTAAAATGACGTGCATTAACTTGAGCTTTCACAACTTCTAAATTTTCATTCATAAAATCACTTAATGGACTCCGAAACGAAACTATCAGAACACATGCTGCTTTCCACCGTAAACTACTACTACAAACAGCCGTTTTTGCTGTTCGAAGGCGCGCACTTCGGTCGGAAACAGGAACGCACTCTGCAGGAATTTATAACGGATGCCGCTCGCGCGGAGTTGATCCACCCTGTGGGCACTAAGAGGGCCTCTTATAGCAGGCTAATTATGGGTTCGGCCAGGCCCACAATGGGGTGGTGAGGGATGGGGCCCGACATATCCAAACGGACCATTCCTGGGGATTCCTTGACCCGTCCGGATTCGATCTCGGGTCCCCCAGAGTGGTAGGCTGCCACCTTGACCGCTCGGCCATCCGGCCTATTGGTTCGGCTAGGCTAGAAAGTGGTGGATGGTAAGGAGCAGAGCCCGACATCCGGGTAACGAAAAATTCCTTGTGGTTTTTAGGCCATATAAAGGAATATGAAGCTATAAATGGGCAATTTTATTGCCAGTGATGTCCTTAATTAAATCCCAGCATTCGCAAGAGAAAAACTCTATTGTGGTTAGCCATCTCATTGAAGAGCATAGTATTCCCAAACAAATGCTAAATTACCTAATAAGATTCAAGTGCCTTAAGGCAGCCCGACTATCAGAAATAATGTAGATAGTCTTATTAAGACGATCTATATAAAATAGTGCAAACACAACGAATAACAGCTAACAACAATGATCGATGTCTCGTTTACAAACAACAAACCGGTTTATTAGACAAATCAATAGTACTTACTTTTTACGTAGGGTTGGAATTCGGCACGTAGTCGTCAAAAGAAGAAGAGGAAGTCCGGCGACAGGGTGGTTTCCTATCGTTGACCGGATGTTGCATTCTAAGTCCAGTTCTTGAACAGGAAACGATGTCCAGTGAATGCCGATCGGAATGTCCGAAGTTTCTCTCAACGACGGTCTATAACGTTTGGAGGATATATCGGCAAAGGACGAAGGTGGAACCTTGCGGGAAACACCCCCAGCGAGGGACATAGCCTGGCGGGACGCTACGGCAAAAAACGAATTGTTCTTGTGTCCTGAGCTTAAATATCTTTTGGTCTCGCAAATCGTCACTTTATTGGTTATTAATCCACTTTCTCGGTCCCACATTGGTCTTTCTCTGTTACCAGGTGAAATTGGTTCTTGATCGGTTCTTGAGAAAGACGATTGTTTATTAATACAATTCGACACCGTCTTTCGTTCAGTGTTGAACGAACCTTGTACCTTAACTAACATTTACTTTTTTGTTCGTCTTGTCTTATAAAAAATTTAATTTACTAATTTTTCTTCTTTTTTACCACTTGATTTTAATATTAAAATAATTTTTCCCTCCTTTCCCTTATAATTTAGTTCTTTTAAATTTTAATTAATCGAAAATATCAAGATTGTTTTGTTTGGATATATGGTTAAAAGAATGTTTTTCATCCCAGCCCAGGGCCTTACAGAGCACCCTACCATTTTTAAGATGTCGCCACGAAAGGGATGCGGCATCTTATAAAAGGCAGTGAGGATGACAGTTTCTTTCAAGTGAAAAGGGACCTTTCCTTTCCAGGTACAAATTAAGATTCTCCTTACAATAAGCATATTATTTGATTTCAAAGTCGCTCCCGGTTACATCTAATACTAGCTTTTCTACAATGTATCATTCTGTTATCTTACTTGTTAGAAGCGTTTCTCAAAGTGGGCGATAACGCCCCCTTGTGGGCGCTGGAGGCTTTCAGGGGGGCAGTAGAAGGCTCAAAGAGAATTGAGGGGCGTTAGGGAAATATAGAGGGGCGACGGCAGACAAATTCTATATATAAAAATTCGACGGAATATATATAAAATGTTGACATTTTATATATTTTTTATTTTTTATTGAAGGTCACAACTTGAATATTTCTAACACATTGACTTTTATTTTAGCTCAGCGTTTCTCAAAGTAAGCAATAACGCCCCCTTCTGGCGCGATGAATAGATCTATGATAGAGGCAGGGTATTGAACGGTGACCAAAGGCAAAATTGGGGCTGATAAGAGGAAACATTGCGTT